GCCCAGGTGTCCACTGCAAACAGATGTGAAATTGTTGCCGCTGTAACACACCTGTGTCCCAAAAACCCTATGTGAGTGCAGTTGAAAAATGAAGAGGGTGGAGGTCTGCGGCAGGGGATGGGGAGGAAAAAACTGAGGAAGCAAGAATGCTCCCACAGGGGGCCAGCTCCCCCACTGACCCCAGTAGGCTCCCCCACTCCCCGAGACCCACCCAGGGACTGAGGCCCCAAGATCTCCTCCTCTGGACAGACCGCCAGGCCTGGAAGACGCCAGATCACGGACAGACAGAGCCCGGAGGACTGCCAGAAACTGGGACCAACCGACCCCCCTGCCCCAGAGCCGCACAGACCCCCAAGACCTGACCCCCAGCCCCACAGCCAACCGGCAGCCCAAAGAAGCTACCGAACCCCAGCAAGTGTGATCTAGCCCAGAGTGCACAACCAGCCACGGCCAACGCCAGGAGGGACCAAGACCGAGCCCCTGCCACAACAAAGGGGCCAGCCAGCCGGCCCAGCACAGCCCGCCACCGCCACCACGGCCATCCACCCAGCTCCACCCCAGAAGAAATACTACACCCACCCCATCATTCAGACAACTCACAGAACATATAGYATGCTAGACACCCAGGCTGGGTTGGCCTACCCCATCCCACGGGCCACCGGCCCAGTCCCCAGCCAACCCAACTTTAATTCTTTCAAGAGTGGTAATGTCCTGATTCCCTATCCTCGGTTAATTAGTTACCTGTGTCAACTTATCAACTACATTAGAAGATGTAGAAGATGTAGCCTCTGCCAGCCTTTGGGTTGTTGTTGTATTGTCCATCTTTAGTATAGTCACAGTTGTTTGTGATGATGATGAGCAGATGACCTGCTCTGTAAATCTTGTGACTCATGGTCTAGATAAGGGGCGGCTTGGTTACTAGTTGCCCGGCAGCAATTGGCTGGCCTTCATCAGAGAAGTTTGCAGCATCCTGCTGGGGTTACTGCTGCATCCTCCTCATGTGTTTATGAGGCACCGCCTACATCCTCCATGGGGCAACCACAGCCTGCCGTGGGGCCTGCTCATAGCCAATGGGATCTACCCAGGGGTTGGGCTCTGGGTCCCTCTCAACATGAGCACTCTACCTGGCAACCTCAGACCCTCTTAAGGGCCAGGGGGCTCAAAGATGACATCTGGGAAAAGAAATGGAAAGCTTTACGCCAGTTCATCTCAGCCACTGAGCCACTCTCCACCTCAATGTGTGGATTGTGTCAACACTATCTCGTGGTTATGTGTTACAATTCTGCCGCCGCCCTCCCATTCCTGGTCAGATCAGAATGAGGGTCATTTGCATCCAGGTGAAAGCTCAGGCAATAAGCCAAGAATTAGACACCTTGCTGGTCAAGTGTGCCATAGTGCTTTCTGACCTCCTGGTGGATCCAGGGTTTTTTTTTATTCAAAGTATTTTTAGTCCCAAAGAAGACTGTTGGCCTTTTTACATGCTGAGCATCAGGGATGTGCTTCAGGCAGTTTCTCCAGGTGAATGTTCCATCTTGGTCAACTTTCATGTGTCAATTGCACCCTACCATTAGTAGTTTCTCCGCTTCACATTTTAAGTTCAGGGTTCTTCCATTCTGCCTTTCTCTGTCTCCCCGTGTGTTCACCCGGTGCRTGGCTGCAGTCCTGTGTCCTCTGCAGGCCAAGGGCTTGAGGATCCTTCCCTATTGGGATGRTTGGCTGATCTGTCTACCCACGAAAGCTCAGGCCCCTGCAGACATGCTGAAGGTGCTCAGTCACATTGACCAATTGGATCTTTGTGTGAACTGGTATAMGAATACTAGTTTCATCTCAGGAGGTCAGTTTTCTCAGCATCACAATGAATTCTCTCACAAACACTGCTTGCCCATTGCTGCAGAGTGTCAGTGGGATTCTGCAGATGCAACCCACTTTCCTGCCTGGCCTTGCACCTCTCCTCATTGCTTCCCTCCACCTGTTGAGAAGGCTAACTACTCCCTCTACAGTGGTCTCTCTGGGGCTGTTGTCTCTGCGCCCCCTACAGATGTGGATAAACAGCCTGCAGCTGGACTTGACTCGCATGGTACACTGATGCAGGAGGTTGCAAGTGTTCAYTCAGTGCCTTGCATAATTGGCTCAATGGCAAGGTGCTACATTTAGGATGAAGCGGGTTCTGCTGGGCTTTCTGCCATCTCGGATGAAGATGTGTATACTGATTCACCACCAGATGGGGGCATCGTGGCAGCAACAGATTTTCCGGGAGAAGTGGTCTTAGCAGCAGAGGGCAAGGCGTATCAATGCCTTGGAATTGGAAGCTGTGTAGCTGATGCTGATGCAGTTCCTCCTAGGCCTGCGCAGGAGTCATGTGGTCCAACAATAAGTCAGTGTTTTTTTTTTTATATCAGCCATCTGGGAGGAACAAGATTGTTGAAAAAAATTCCAAGTTCCAAAAATCACTTAGTGCTATAAGCACTGCCTCTGGTGGTCATCCTGTATTCATAAAACCGTAGTGGCGTTGTAACTATTGTTCAGACTGCAGTCACTTTGAAAAACATCAAATATGTATCAAATTGAGTGCCACATACTGAAAAGGCCCACGTCGGATTTGAAAATCTTGGATTTGTCATGTTCAGACTGTCAGAAAAAAATCTGATATAGGTTGCATGGGCAAAAAAAACATAGATTTGGGACGCATTTGCCTGCACTGTGAACATAAAAGTCTGAGTGAGGGAAACTGAAGACTGRCTAATGTGGAGATTGGAATGAAATTCCTTTTGTGTTTTTATTATTTTCTTCACAGAGAAAAGCTGCTCACATTAACAAACAGAGATTTAAACAGCTTTCATAGAAAATGGGGGTGGGATAATAACAGTGAAGTTTGAATTTTATTCTCTCCCACTTTAAAATTTGACTGACTCAGAACTCAAACAAATTAACAAGAGATTTAAACTTTTTTATCAGTTTCACATTTGACAAACCATTGTGTGAACTCTGCATTAAGTCCATTCTGTTTAAAATAAATAGGTGATAGTGACTCTTCCTCTGAGCTCATAGCTGCAGAGCATGGAGAAGGAGAAGGCTGCTTTTACAACATGTCTTATGATATTAATTCCTGACCCGTCCTACTCAACAAGACATTTTGTGACATTTTAGTCTTGTGAGATCCTGTGCTATAAGATCTTGTTACTGAGTCATCTTCAGTGCATATTCTAAATGGTAGCACATCATTTTTGACCAAAGATTTGACCAAAGACAAACTTTGTCCCTTTACAGCACAAAATGATCTTAGTCTAAAAATCTACGAAAGGTGGCTGGTGATGTGCATTCTTTTAATGAAGGCTAGGCTATTTTTTAATTATAAAAAATAATATAAAATAAAGATTGCATTAGTTATTATGATGACACTAAGATTTTGTATTTTTTGCCACAAGATACCACAAGGCCGAGGAGGAGCTTGGAAGTCGATGGGCAAGACTACCACTTTGTAATGTCTAGAGAACAGATGGAAAAAGACATCCAGGAGCACAAGTTCATTGAGGCGGGACAATACAATGATAATTTGTATGGAACAAGTCTGCAGTCTGTGAAATATGTAGCTGAGAGGGTGAGTGTACTTATTGCATCAGTGTATTTAGACTGTATGTTAGCTTCAACAAGGACATTTTTAATTTAATTTGAAAATGTGAAGTAACTATGCAGTACCTTTCATTGTCCAGCTGCTGGGATTTGAAATTAGAAAGCACTCAAAAGAGTAATGACAGTTTAGCTATACRATATGAAAATATTGTAGATTTTATTTAAGCTATACCTCCTCTTATGTAGCYATGTTCCTATTTCTCAGGGTAAACACTGTGTTCTGGATGTGTCAGGAAATGCCATCAAACGTCTCCAGTTAGCACAACTCTATCCCATTGCCATCTTGATAAAACCAAAGTCTGTTGATTCATTAATGTAAGTATTGTTATTTTATACCATTAATCTGTTTTGTTTCTTTACATGTGTTCATTTTTCTCAAGCCTACATATTCATCTACATTATTTTTATTTTAAATTCTAAAGAATTTTATTTTATTYTCCTCAGAACAGTTTTCCACTTTGCCTCAGTCCATTTTTTGATCTTTGACACTGAGATGATGGTGTTTCTTGTGGTGTTCTCACATGGCTTTTTCTTTACATGATAGAGCTTTAATCAGCATTTTTAAATGGCACAGTGAATTGTGTTTACAGACAGTGATTTGTGGAAGTGTTCCTGAGCYTTGAGAGTTTTCTAGAACACAATCAGATTCATTTAATGCATTGCTGCCTGAGGGCCTTTTTAAGATGTGTTCAAATTGTCTTACAATGATTTTATTTTTTTAAAGGTTCAGTTTATTATTTTTCAGCATTTGATTTGTTTACTGTGTTATATTGTGAATAAAATATGGGTTTATATTATTTTCAAATCTTATTTTCAAACCGTTCTGTTTTTATTTGCACAACATRTAATCTTTTCATAACGGGTTCAGTTCTGTTCAGTTTGCTCACATTAGCAGTATTTCACAACAAAAGTATTCTCAGAACAAAAACGTCACAAATTCCAAGTGAGAGATCCAAGTGCTCTGTTAAGAAAATATGGAAAAATAAAATCTTTAATATAAGATGGAGCTTGGTTGTTGAGAGCTTTGTATGTTAGAAGTAATATTTTAAATTCTATTCTGAATTTGACAGGGAGCCAGTGGAGAGAAGCTAAAACTGGAGAAATATGATCTCTYCTTCCAACTCCGATGAGAGTTCTGTACATATCTGGCAACAACATTTTAAAGCAACTAAAGACTTTTTAGAGAGTTGTTTTTGTATACAGATAAAAATAAAAATCCAATAATCCAGTCTAGAAGTGATAAATGCATGKATCAGTTATTCTGCATCATTTTTGGACAAGGTGCTTCAAATTTTAGTGATATTGTTCAGGTGGGAAAAAATGGTCCTGGTAACATTTTTAAAGTCTGGATTAAACAAAAAYGATCTGGATTAAGTCAAAAATAACACCAAGTTAGAACTGGAGGCCAAATTAATACCATCCAAAATAACTGAAATGCTGCAAAGTTTATTCCTAAGCTGTTAGGACAAAAAAACACCTGAGTTCAGAAGCAGAAAGTTAAGAGTCATCCAGGTTTTTATGTCTTTAAGACATGCTTGTAATTTAAGTAACTGATTGAAGTCATCATGTTTTGTGGATAAATACTGTATAACTGAGTATCATCAGTATAATAATGGAAATGTATCTTGTGTTGTTTAAAACTTTATGTAATGGAAGCGTATATAAAAATGAGATTGGTCCAAGCACCGAACCCTGAGGAACTCCATGACTAACTAGTGTAAGAAGAAGATTCATTATTAACATTAACAAACTGGAATCAGTCAATTAAATATGACTTAAAACAGTTTGGAGCCGTTCTTATAATTTATTGTAATTCAGGTCATGTCTGAGCCTTTGTAATAGAATATTGAACACAGCATAATGAAGTATTCTGCTACAGCAGTTAGTAAGTGTAGTCAGCCATTTTCAAAATTGAAATAAATTTTAAAAACAATTATATTGTATCCTGCAGCATACGTGTGTGTTGGTCTGARTTTATGCAGCATAAGGACTTCTGATTTTAATTTCAGCTGTGGTCTTTTCTGTACCTTTTGTGTAGGAGTATAAATAGGAGACTGACAGAAGAGCAAGCAAAAAAGATGTTTGACAAAGCTCTGAAGCTGGAGCAGGAGTTYGGTGAATTTTTTACAGGTAAGATATTCATAGAAGAAGTCTAAATAGAAAAGCAGTCATGTTTACCAACTTTTAATACAGTATGTCTCTGTTCAAACGTTCATACTGATTTACATAACTTTACTAACACCTAATTTACTTGATGTAATCCCGTTGAGAAATGGCTCCTATCTATCTATGTGAGAGGAGTGTTTCCATGAGAATGGTCCCCGGAAACAGTAGTGGTTTTTTATTTATTTATTTTTTTTTTCAGTTTTTACTGTAGTGAATCAGCATAAAAACTACCCAGTGACATGAATTTGCTTTGTACAGTTGCTATTAAAATGATTGCATTCTRATCAAAACCATTATATGTGCTGAGTGAGGTCCGCTTTCTCAGAGAGGGGAGTTAGTAAGATGAGCTTTATAATGTGCACAGAAACGGAGTGCAGCTAAAATGGGTAATTATTGTTTATCTACCAACACTGATGCCATGCTTCAACAAGAGACGCACATGTCAGAGCATGAAAAACAACAATTAAAGCTCTGCTACACCTTAAAGTTGTAAAGAACTTACGTCAGTGTCACAAAAAATGACATAAACAATGGTGTCAGTCACACAAGTTGGGTGTAAGTTTTGAATAAGTTACCAGAATGCTGATATACGATGACCAGCCAAMATACACAACATTTTCTGTGTATGCGACAGGTAAGTTATGCAGTTCACACGTGTAAGTTACTCATAAGATGACATATGTATGTCAAAAACCAGCTGGGAAATTGTGAAGTGTACAGTAATTTTTTTTCTAAAGCTCTTGTCACACTGTTTCATTTTAAACAACTTCTGTCCAACTTATCAGCTTATGCTTTGAAAAAAACAAAACATCATTTAGTAGCCTATTTTGGACGTGCACATACTGTGTTGCTAACGACTTGAACAAATGTAAAACCCATGAATAAACTGTCCCTGACTTATACATAACATGCACAAGCTTATTATAGCATGTTTAGACTTTTGCAGAGCTAATGTGACATTATTATTACGTCTGCAGATTTCTGCACAGCATCAGTTTATGAAAAAAMAACACATTAATAGAAGWTAGGTGTAATTTTAGACTAACCTACCAACATGTTAATAAATGACASCATACTGTACATTTTTATATGGTGCATGATTTTTAACATGCTCAAAAGTTTTGCGAAACTTATTCATAATTTATACATAAGTTTCTGGTGTTCTACAGGTAATACAGTAWATGTTCCCACATGTTACATTGCAGTGTGCCCCAGGGTAGCTGTAGCTACAATGTAGCTTACCACCATCAATGAGTGAATGTGTATGAATGAATAATGCATGAAAATTTTAAAGCGTCTTTGAGTGTCTAGAAACTTGCTATAGRAGACCAGTGCAATATTTTTATTATTATTCTGGAAGTTACTCATAAGTGGACATATGTCAGATAAAAGCTGGGTAATTATAAAGAGGACATAGAATGTGTAGGCATCTCTTTTGATGATAGACTTACACAAGAATATAGCTCATCAGACTGTGTAAAAAAAAAAGGAGTGAGCTGAGAGCAATCCAAAACTGGCAGATATTTTTGAAGCAACCAGAAAATGAACCCACAGAACAATTCTCACCAACTTCTTTAGAGGAGGACACGGTGCAGCACGCACCTCACTGAATGAGCCAGAATGACAAAAATAAAGATTTCACATACAGTATATGTAGATAGATAGATAGATAGATAGATAGATAGATAGATAGATAGATAGATAGATAGATAGATAGATAGATAGATAGATAGATAGATAGATAG